GCCTGGCGCCGAGACCCTCCACCTTGCCTAGGGGCCTGGCAAGTCTGTTGGCCCTGCTGCATACGAGACACAGCACCACTTGGCTTGGCTCATTCACTTCTCCGTCCGTGGAGGTGCAAACCTGAATGGTGCCATGGCCCCTGCATGCCAGATCACAGTCACTTGGTTTGGGGACTCTCTAAACTTAGGCAAAGTGCCCTCTGTCGGCTCAGGGGCTTAGGAGCTCAAAGCTAGGGCTTCAATTACAAAGGACATTTTCTGGTGTGTGTGTGTGGGGGGGGTTATTACTTAGGGGGGCTGCCTCCCTTATGTTTTACTTCTCACTAGTGTTTAAGTCAGTGGATCTCAACTTTTCCAGACTCTTGTACCCCTTTCAGGATCTGATTTGTCTTGCGCACCCCTAAATGATATTCATGTTGTACTTATATTTCAGCGTAGCGCATATAAAGCAGTACACCCGGGCTACTCAACACACGGTCCCCGGGTGGGAGCCAAAATAAAAGAGTCAATATAATGGTCTCCTGTTGATATGCATTTTAGTAGTTAAATTCCTGGACTGTCATTGCTCATTAAAAGTGCTGTCATGGGTGGAAATTGGGTAACTATTGCATTTTATTAATATCAGCAGAACTGACTCAACTGGGGCCTGTGTGTTGTGTCGTCTTGCCTTAATCTTTGTATTCATGCCTGTCAGTGTGAAAGAAGCGATTTGCATATATTTCAATGTACATTTGTATGTCTATGCAACCACACTTACGTTGTGGCCCTCGGCATGTGGTGTGAGTATCATTGTGGCCCCTGGGGCTTCCAAAGTTGAGTAGCCTGCAGGACACTAGGGTTGCCAGGTATCTGGTTTTGAACTGGGCAGTCCGGTATTTGAGCTTTGGGAAACAAATTTTCTAATTAAGTATGTTTTATTATTATCATGAGCTGGACTTGACTAACAGCAGTGAACACCGCTCGCCAGCCCCGTACTGCGCATGCGCAAGAGCTGCATTGTGCATGCGCGCGTCGCGAATGAACGGGGCACGCGGCTGAAATCTACTCGCCATGGGCGAGGAGACTGTATGGTTTGTCGAGTCCTGATCATGAGTATCAGTATGTACTTGCGTACTGCCTGGCTGGTAGACATGCTCATGCTGCGTGAGCACATCTACCAGCCAGGCAGTCTGCAATTACATGGGAGGGGGGGCAGGACCGGGGTGGGGTGGAATCCCCGGGG